AAGACATGCCTGGTGCACTATGGGATGTGCATCGCAGTACGAAGCTTGGTGGGGGCAGGATGTTTTTAATTGGCGGAGAGACCTAGCCCTGCTGTGGGGTCCTGTGTCCTGGAGGGAATTCCCTGCTCTGAGGCAGGACCAGCAGTGACCTCTTTCGAGCCGGGCACCAAGCCCAAGCTGCTGGAGCCTGCCCAGTAGAGGACTTCGGTCCAGCCCTCCATGGTGATGCACTGATAGACACAAGCCCAAGCTGCTGGAGCCTACCCAGTAGAGGACTTCGGTCCAGCCCTCCATGGTGATGCACTGATAGACAGTCAGCATGGCAAAGCCGAAGTTATCGAAGTGAGTGATGCCGTTGTTGGGCCCCGGCCAGCCGCTTCGGCACTCAGTGCCATTGATGGTGCAGTGTCGCCCGTGGCCAGAGCTGGTGCATGGGGCTGGCTTCTTTGATGCCACCGTGGCAATCACATCTGAGGGGGAAAGCCGTGGTGTGAGCAGCAGGTCAGGCCAAGTAGAGCAGGTCCCAGCACCTCCCAGCCTCCTGCAGAAGCTTTTCAAAAGGGGCCCCTTCCACCACCTCCTCACATCACGTACCATCACCAAGCTGTGTGCTGTACCAAACATCCTTCAGTCCTGCCACACTCCCAGGCCTGACGCTGGCAAGACCAGACTTTCTGCTACCCACAGAACCTCTGTGTTCCCCACAGCAGCCACACAGAGGCATCTCTGCCATATCGCCCCACAGCCCCACCTGTCCCGAGATAGTAGCAGGTCTTGTGCATCTTGCCCTTGAAGAGCTCTTGACCGACAATGGCATAGATGATGATCATGAAGAGGACCAGCAGGGCGATGTGGAGCAGGGGCACCATGGCCTTGATGATGGAGTTCAGGACGACCTGAAGGCCTGCACCAAGGAGAAGGGAGAGGATGTCAACCACTTCCTAAACAGCTTTGGGTGCACCTTGCATTCCTGTCAGCCCCTCTGACAAGCAGCCTCTGAAATGCCCTGTGCCAAGGGAAGAGGGGCACAGGTGGGTTGGGACTTAAAATCTCTGAAGCAAGAAATCCTTTCTCTACCCACCATGCGAGCATGCAGAAGACCCCAGCAGAGCCAGGCACCAGGCAGTGCTGGGGGCTGCTTCATGCCCCTCTATTTGTTCTGTTGCTCTCATCCTGGCTGTATTCACATGAGTTATGGGAGAAGGAGATCCCTGCCCTGAGAACCCACCATGCGAGCATGCAGAAGACCCCAGCAGAGCCAGGCACCAGGCAGTGCTGGGGGCTGCTTCATGCCCCTCCATTTGTTCTGTTGCTCTCATCCTGGCTGTATTCACATGAGTTATGGGAGAAGGAGATCCCTGCCCTGAGAAACTAGGGTGAGGTCCTGGCCCCTTTCACACTGGTCACCCAAAGGTGCTGACACTGAGCCATGGAGGGAGCTACCTGTGTGTCAACCTGCAGATCCCCAGGGCTGACAACTGCAAGCTGTAGGGATGAGCAAGAACCTGTGGCTCCTCCACACCCACCTGGTGGCTGGGCTTGACCCAGCAGCAACAAGAAACCTGCCCCATGGCCCCCCACCCTGGCCAGGCACAGGGGTTCAATCCACCCGCCAGCCCTTCGTGCTGGCAGGGTGCCCAACACCCACTCGGCACTCCGGACACCAGGCGCAGGGGTCTCAGCACACGAAACGCTCGCAGGGCCTTCACGTCGAAGCCGCCTTTTCCCCCTGAAGTCCCTCCCTGCTTCGCATTGACCTGCTCCAGGGTCATGGTGATAAGCCTGAAAGAGCCAGGGCAAAGAGTAGGGAAGAAAGGGGGAGAAGCAGAAGGAAGGACAGGGAGAAAGAGAAGGGCATCAGGATGGAGACCAAGAAATCTGTGCTAAGGATTCAGAGCTCTGCAGGCAAGAAAGCAAGGGACAGGACTCTACCAACCGTGCTCAGCCTGACCCAGGGAACAGCTCTTGGCTAAGTCCAACTCCTGGGCGCACTTGTGGTTGGGCACCCCTCTGCTGGGAGTCACCTTCACTGCTGAGCAGCCGGGGGCCCTCCCACCCCCTGGTGCCCAGTGGACCCTCTCCCTGTGTGCCAAACCCCAGAGGACCCCATGCCACTCCCATTCTCCAGGGCAAGGAGACCTGAGAGGCGTTAAGGAGTCAGACAGGAAGAAACAGGAGTTAAAGGGGATCTCAGGGGATGTCAGGGCATGAAAAAGGGGCCTATGGGAGAAGGCCATGAAGTGCATCTATGAGTTGCCCCCTAACCCACCACAGTCACTAGAAAAATCAATGTAGCTGATGGGCTATGGACCAGGCCTCGCACAAGCTGAGCACCAGCAGCTTCACCTCCTTGCATTACCCTAGGGACACGATGGAGAAGTCGAGCACGTTCCAGCCGTTTCGGAGATAGGCATCCGTATGGAAAAGAAATCCGTAGGCAATTATCTTGAGCATCGCCTCAATGGCAAAGAAGATCAGGAAGGCGTATTCGATCTTCTCCTGGGGATTGGAAAGGCAAGCAGGAGAGGCTGCTCCATTAGAGCAGACTGTCACCTCCCTTGGTATCACCACCATGCGCAGCTGCCCACCCGCATGTCTCTGGATCAGCCCCTGCTGCCAACCCATCTGTGATCTCCCACACACACCAGGCAGCACTGTGGCTACCCAGGGCAGGAAGGGGTGCCATGCTGAGCCACCACATGCCACTCTGGCCTGCAGCATGATCCCCTGCATCCCTTCAATGGCATGCTGCCAGGACCATGTCCCTGGCCTATGGGTACCTGTTCTTACAAACTATGCCAGCAAAGCCACCACTTCTCAACCCAGCACCCAAAGGTGCCTGGCCCAGGGCACTGCACTTCTCTGGTTCTCCCTGCTGCCTCACCCTCCCATTCTCCCATTGCCTTCCTCCCACAGGCAGCACTGACACCTTCTTGTCCTCTCCAGCTGAGGGCTTGCTGGGTCTGTCCTGGAGACACCACGCAGTCACCATGGGACAAGCCAGCTGCATTGTGGCTGCCCTTGTGCCCTGGGCTCCCAGGGAAGTGAGGCCTTGGGCTCAAGACCCCCTGCCTAATGCCAGATGTCTGCCTGGCAGAGTGAGCTGCAGAAACTGGCCTGGGGGCTCTGCTGGGCAGAGGCATTGCACCCACTCCCAGGCAGGACCTGGCACCCCACTGCAGGGGCTCAGCACAGCCCTGCAGACGCAGGGCCCAGAATAGCTCATCTTTCCCTGGAGCGTGGCCAAGAGCTGCCTGTGCCCACTTGGTTCTGTCTGTCACTGCAATCACTGCCCTTGCTACTGATGGCCCTTTCCAGACTGGGATTAAAATCCCTCCAAAGCAGCCAGATGGACGGGGGTATTTATATTTCTGGTTTTCCATGGCCCCTCTCCTCCATCTGCACCCTATGAAGGGCAAGGAGCATCCCTGCTTGGCCTCTGCAGGGAATTGCACCCAGAAAGGCAGAAACATCTCTCTCAGACCAAACTAGGAGCAGGTCTCCACTGGGGAAGGCTGCAGTGCTGCGAGCACACCTTCCTCCCAGGGTCCCTCTGGCTTGCCAAATGGAAAATGCTGTCCATTTAAGAAACCAGGGCCAGGGCTTAGACAGAAGCATTGCTTGCTCAATTACCATGTCCAAAAGCAGTGGCCATGCCAAGTGTCCCTGTATGACTGTCACCCATTCAAGTGCCAGTTCCTTGTTGGATCTGAGGGCAGCAATGGTAAGAGCAGAGACCTAAGCATTGTGATTATTGGTGTTATCAGGGCTCTGTCTTCAAGGTTTTGGCTAAGGCAACTCAACGCTGCTCACGTCCCCACCTTATCAGTGACAGATGCCCCCTAGTCTGTCCCCAAAAGCCTGTCCTTGCAATCCCAGACATGTAAACACAACTATTGTGAGGATCATTTCAGGTATGGAGGGACTGCAGAGCCACACCAGCAGACAGTGGTGTGGTGCGGTATCTCCCCTGCTGCAAATGGAGGAGAAATGGGGGAGTCCACTGCAAGCTACAGCGGCCCTGCAGCTGCCAAGGCCCAGGCTGGTGAGTGTCGGGATCCAACCTGGAGCCCCAGCATTGCAAAAGCTAATTCCTTGCCCTGCTTCATCCAGCAGGACAGAATCAGGTTCCAGGGTCTCTGACTAGCAGGGATCTCCCTCTAAAAACCCCTTGCCCAGAATAAAAAGGTGACTCACTATTCCTTGGAGGTCCCTTTGAGAAGCCCAAACTGGATGAATGGTGCTTTGGCCAGCTCCAACAGTATTTGCCCACCCTGCACAGTCAGTGAGCAGCAAGTTTCAAACCTGGGCCAAGGGAGAGCCAGCAGGCAGCCCCTTGAGATCTGGCTACTACATTTGCTTCATCCTGGGAGAGGCAGTAACTGCAAATTTCCTTACAGTACCAGTTCACCGTTGTGCTTTGCAGACCCAGCCACGTACATGGAGCTGGATCATCCTGATCTGTCCTGCTGGTGTAACCCCTCTAGTACAAGGAAAAGTCTTGGAATGGCCAGTATGAAGGTTCCATGCAGTGATCCATCAGTGCTGGCTGGAGGGATCCCCCATCACCTGTCCTACAGCTGTGGGTCCAGTTCCCCCATCTTATCTGGCTGTAAACTGTGGGCAAGTGCTGATGTTAGCAGAGCAAGAGGAGCCAGGCCCCTGACTATGAAGACATCTCACAAGCATCTTTGTCAGTGGGCTGAGGTGGGGTAGCCTTTCAGTGGGGCAGGTCATGGCAAACTCTCTCTGGATTCTCCAAGTGGTAGGTGTAGCTGCAGGACACATACTGGCAATGAAACTCATGTGGCCACAAAGCAATGTACTGAGCCAGGGCAAACTTACTGCCACCTTCGGATACCAGCAGAAAGAAGCTAAGGGATATTTTGTCCCGGCAGTTGGTCAAGCACCGCATGTCCTGCACCTAGTGCAGACCCCAATTCATGTGCCCGGGCTCATTTGAGAAGAAATCAGTCATGCGCTTACCCCAGCTCTGGTGCTGCCCATGTGGCAGGTCAGCACGGAGACTGTGCACTCATGACCCAAGCAGCCACCCTGTGCCTGTGCCATGAGGGAAACACGGCAGACCCTGCAAGCCAGGCACACACCGTGTACAGGCACAACTCTGCTGACTTCACTGAAGCCCTGGCCAGTTTCTAGCAGCTGAGGACCCGCTCTGTGCCACCACCACCCACTGTCCCCTCATCACCCCCAGAATTCAGAGCTGGCTACCCACGGTGGGAGGCTGCTTAGGGAAGGGCGGCAGGGCTGCCTGGCAGAGCTGGGATTTGGTGTATGAAGAGCCCAGCCTTCAAAAAGCCACTATAAAAAGATGCAGGTCTTTATAACACATCGGACTGCTACACACACACATGCTTCAACCATGCTAGGGGACACAGAGTAACCTGACCTGTGGCTGCTGAATGAGCTGCAGAGCAGCAGGAATAAGTGTGCACCATGCTGATGCAATGCAACATGACACAGCTCCAGCCTGCTCGGCAATGTCGACTCCCAGCCCCTACGGCCACACAGGGCTCTCCAAAATGACCCCCAGCTCCATGTCCCTGGTGTCTCCTCCCAGGGAATAGGGGGAGCAGGGCTTGGATAAAGCCTCCTGCTGGCCAAAGTGGGGGATAGATGGTGAGGGGACAGTATGACTGTAACACAGCTGGATATCTACCCCTGCTTCCCAGAAGACATCCATGTGCAGCAGGACTCACAGCACTCACACTCCTCCCTGACCCCTCCAAACTGTCCCCAGCCTGCTGCGCTCCTCTGTGCCCTCTGTTCCTGCTCCTGCACCATCAGCCCCTGCACCTCCCCTAGAGCCTCTCGGTCCCAGTCAGGTCCTGCTCCCCTTTCCCCCTGCAGCTCCAGTCCCCATCACCTCCACTGCCTCAAACAGTCCTTCGCTGCTAGGCTGAGGGATGGCCCTTGCCATGGCTGAGGCAGTTGTCACAGATCACAGGAGGTCTGAGGCTGGCAGGGATCTCTAGAGATCACCTAGTCCAAGCCCTTGCTGCTCAAAGCAGGGCCAGCTTATAGTGGGCTGCTCAGAAATTTCTCCACACAGGTTTTGAATGTCTCCAAGGACTCCACAACCCCCCTGGGCAACCTGTGCCAGTGTTTGACCACCCTCCCCAATAAAAATGTTTTTTTGTATGTGCACCAATGGGTTGACCAGGATGCACGTGTGGACTGCCTGTGCCAGGACAGGCAGGGCAGGTAGCTGTGCTGCTGAAGTCTTTCATAAGGGCTTTTTAAACATAAAACACCCATAAGGGTGTTCTCCAGGGGCTTGCAGCAACCGTGCTTTGCAATATGGAGTAGCTCTGTGTCTTTCTCCCCTTCCCCTGAATGTAGATGAGACAAGCCCTGCAGATGTGAGAGGAAGAAGGGGACAGGACAGCTAATGAATATATGGGAACACAGTTACAGCAATCTCATAGGCTCCCCTTCCTTTGGAAATCAAGATAAAAATGAGGGCTGGAGCAAAGGAAGGCTCCTTTGAGTACGTGGTGGGAAACCCTGGTACCCAGCATGGGAAGGGCACAGTGGAGGGCAGACAGGCCCCTCGGGGCTGCTGTGAACCATGTCCGGGAAGAGACATTGAGAGAAACATTTCTGCTTCTCACAGTGGCCTCTGTCAGAGCACAGGGAGTGCTTGGGATGGGGAGACATGCAGGAAAGAATTTGGGAGAATTTTTGAATCATTTGCACAATTTTTTTAGAGCAGGGGGTTGGACTAGATGATGTCCAGAGGTCCCTCCACCCTCAGCTGCTCTGTGATGCTGTGATTTTCCTGCCATATCCCCCAGCCACAGCTCCTCCTTTCCCATAAACAAGTGACAGACCTGGGCTTGACAAACCCCAGCGCTGCAGAGACAGGAACCAAAAAAGCAATAAACCTCTCCAGCAGCTATGCAAGCGTGGAGGGGCCAGGCCCTACAACAAGTTGTTCCCCATTGCGTCTCCCTCACTCACTGTCCAGAGCTCCTCATTGCTCCATGTCCTTTCCCTGTCACACCAGCTGCCCCACGTCTGGTCAGGTGTCTGTGGGACACCGTGGTGGCATTCTTGAGGGTTGTCCCTGGACTAGATGCCCTA